TCAATATTGGTAAGTAATAATGTAAATAAGGACATGGGGGGCCAGGGGTTTTTTAGGGGGGGGCAGCAATAGTACACGGATTTTTAACATTCACGGGTATCTCTGTTACCTAACCCCCGCGTATGTTAAGGGCTGACTGTATTTCTAAATGAGTTTATTCATAATCGTTGGGATGACCGTTTCTGACGAAAAAGATATTTAGCTAAATTATATAAAGATACATACATTCATTATTTCAAACATGAGCACGTAGGAAGTTTATCAGTAATCTTATACATGAATTAACTGTTAAACTCTGGTAACAAAATTCACACTTTCGGAGGACGCATTTAATACAGGGCGTCCTCGCTTAACGTCGGGGTTACGTTCCTAAAAATGTGACGTTATACGAAACAACGTTAAGTGGATCAATATTCCCCATAAGAAATAGATAAAATACGGGAGTTACGTTCCTGAGCCTCCCTTTGCCCCATGAAATTCATTACATATTCAGAAAATCATTGCCATTTCTATAGAAAATAGTATATATACAGTATATATAGAACTACAGTACTTAGTTTGTATTAGTACTCGGCGATGGGCGGAGGTGATAGAGCGAGTGTGTGGTGGGTAGTGAAGATGAGGAGGCGGGAGGGTAGGAGGAGGAGGAGGATAATGGGAGCGGAGGAGGGCGGGAGAGTAGGAGGGTGGTGAGTCACTGAGACTCTGCTCCAAGCCGAGAGAGCATAGCACGGCCAGTCAAGAGAGGGTGATGCACAGTAGTCTGTGATGACGCAAAACGATGTAGTATCGGATCTCTGGGACGTTAAACGAATTTCTTTTCTCTAAAGTTCAGCTATGTAGTACCGAAACAATGTTAAGCAGGACTACATTATACGAGTACTTACTGTATAGTATACTTATTTTTACCCACAATGAGACATACTAAGACAAATTGCGTATCAGTAAAATTACATTATGCAAAAACTAGCATTTTAAAAGATCAGAATCACACTGAAATATTACACAGCCCCTGAAAATTGGTGGATGAGTGTGACAGACTTGGCCTCTCGAACGAACAGCCGTCAGTCGAGGCGGGAAATATAACTGTGAACAACTTTATATTTCAGTGATTCTGAACTTTTATAATGTTAGATTTTGCGTAATGTAGTTTTACTGATATGTAATTTGTCTTAGTATGCTTTATTGTAGGTAAAAATAAATACCGTACAGTATATTATTTCTCACTTTTGATCTTTTTTTTAAATTTTTGTATTTATTTATGGTTAGTTACTTAAAATAAGGCCAATTCA